GCGCCGTACGCAAAAAAGGGAATGTGATAGATTGTCGCATGTGTTGAGCCAGAAACGTCGCAGCCATCTCCGCACTTTCCTGTAACTACTACCCCTGTTGTAGCCGGAAACGGAATTGACACGGAAACTCCACCACTTTGAGCACCAAGATGATACATAATGTAACGCCTCAAAGAAGTAGTACGCGAGCACAAGCCACATGGGCAGTGCTACACATAGCAACAGAAACTGCAAGCATGGCAACAGCACGAACTCGAATACAACTTCAATTGCCATCAGCGTACACGAGAGTGCTAAGGACAGCAAACACCCGCAGTACCCCGGCAACAGCCACATACTCAGTGTAGCTGCACAAGTCGCAGATCTAAGCGTTATCATGCTCCCGATGTTGATCGGCCTTGATGCAGCTCAAAGGAACTGCACCAGAAAGATTAACTCCGCTTTCGATTTCGACTGAGAATCGTGGAGGTTGTATACTTGTTGTTGTTCTTATGGATGATTCACCTTCAAAGTCAAACTGCTTTCTATTTCTTTTCTACTCAACATAGGATAGCAGCTACTTTTATATAATTGCGAGTAGGTCCAGACTCAAGCTGTTCCTTGAAGTACAACTAGCAAACGACTAATATGACTGGATAAGTTCTTGAATACGAGAAGTACAACATCCGTGCTCTTGATCAAGTATTTCAAGCTTCTCTTGCCAGTAATTCGACTACCTACTTCTAGACACGACAGATCCGAAGATAACACGACTACAACAAGCATCACTCGTCTTTGACATGATCAGACAGCGAACCTCCTCCCCAGGAGGTTCAATCAGGATTTTCATAAATATCACTCATCCACTCAACATCTCCCGTTTTCGAATCATAGCCCTTTCATCGATAAGCACATACGAGGACGAGCCCAAAAAACTGACATCCCAATTTGCATCCTCAACTCAAAGTAACAGCAGTGAACACACTGCTGCAGCTACCTTCTCCACTATGCACCTACTGGCCTCTTTCCACTCGGTTTGCGTTTGCTATTTTAGGTTAGGAATCCTTCACAATCACATCGAGCTCTCGTCTGCTTATAATTATATCAAACGCACAAGTGCTGGACGAACAAGTAACGATGTCAAAGGAAACTTCGAGGACAGGTATAAGGCACCTTCATTGGGGCTAAAGAGTTAAATGTTCGGCATTTGCATCCGCATCATGTGTATCAAGCGTGTCAATGGACCACGGACCCGAGCATAGTGGTAATCTAGGTGCTCTAGGACTGCCAATACCTCAACAAGTGCTGACCACCACATCTCCTCAAGTGCAAGAGCGCCCATATTAGTGCTCCTGGTCATCCCATCACGCTCTGTTGGAAGATAGTTATGATGCTCTCAGAAGAAGAGTCCGTGACAATATCCTCTTCTACGTCCTCACCAGTAGATCCTGTTCTTCTTGCAGCGTCAGCTACTCCTCGTTCCGTGTTAGAGTTACAGTTAGAAGCATCAGTCTATATTCCTGGGTTATGAAGAAAGAGACCCAATTTCTGAAATTGATGACGAGCAGTTCGTTGTACGAGTCAACACAGCAGCTACATTGTTGATTGTACATCATTTATTATAGCACTAAATACGCTTAAAACAAGTCCAAGTCGTAAGTTTGGTCATCCCGGTCCCGGCAGTGAAGTCCTCGTTGACACAGAATCGAAACCACAAGCCAATCCTTTTTATGGCGTCACCCTTCAGAAGGCTCCAGGGTCAACGCCAGCAGTGCCTCTGCTTGCGTCTTAGGCGAGCCCTACAAATTTTTCGCCACTACAAGGTTGGTCGCGGGCCCTAATAGTTGCTAGGGCTTGTCCGGTAGATAAGGCGACGAAAATCGAAGCAGTGGGAATTTCATCATCTTCTTGAGTATCGGTCATTTCGCCAAAATAATTGATACCCGTCTTCTGCTACCTCTTTTGCGCGCCTATTTTTTGATTCATCAGAGAAGATCCACCGCAAATTAGAAATAGAGTGACGAGTGGTAAGTGTAAAAAATACCTGTTTAATGAGTGACATTCATTCAACCAGTAGATGTAGAACAATATCAACATCTTCATATGCAGCGGGGGCACAGCAATCTTTACCTTCGTCGAACAATAAACACGTCAGACGCATGAGAGGTTAGGTTAGGTTGTGAAGTCTGCACATCGAGCCAGAAAAAAAATATCAAACGATATCTATTAGACGTATCTCAGCAGCCTCATGCAAGTACCATTACTCAGCTCCCCGTCGTCAACACTCGTAGAGTTATGCGCGAGTACTTCCGTTCCCGCGATACCCTCGCTCCCGACAGTGGCAAGGACATAGTTCACCGCTCCTGCCGCACCAGAGACCGGGAAGACGAGAAACCCTGCTATGTATTAGAGGACGGCGGGAACACATTATGGAGGTGGATTTTAGATGAAAAATATTATGGAGGTGGATTTTAGATGAAAAATATTATGGAGGTGGATTTTAGATGAAAAAAGGAGCCGAGTTCCTGTTAATGGAAAACTACTCCGCACTACTCTTGATAAACCTGATCTTTGGAAATTGGCGCGCATATACGGATCAAGGAGCAGGTGCAGGAGGGCCACGAGTTAACATTTTGTCATGTCAGTACTCGTCGGGGACAGGAGGGGTGAAGGGGCAGTGTGGTCGGCGGTGTCGATTATATTTCTGTTTACTACTTGTGCAAACCACGCTGCAAGATCAAGGTGACGATAAAACGTAGTTGCACCATTGCGGAAAGTTCACCTAGTCGAGCGGTTTGAGGTTCGCTTGGTCGCTTATAAGAACATGATATCGATCATTAAGTAGCCTTAAGAAAGCTGCGCCGCCCTCACGCGATTATAGCGGAACAGGTAAGGCGAGAAGGGGTGCAAAATCATGACGCCAGTACCTTCGGTCCACGTGCCAGGCTCGTGTATGGTTGGTAGTAGAAGGAACAAATACAAGACGCAAGTGGGCTGGATGTCGATCGCAGCCGAAGTAAAAAACCTTTCATCTCCACCCACTCTCGTGAATGGACTACTACTGCCACACACACACTTTCAAAAGTAAGGCATCAGTGAGAACCTAATCTCATCTTTTATCTGATTCTGAGTCTTTCAAAGAAATAAAGGTTGTGTCTGAACTTCTTCAGACTAGATGCACAAGACCCCAAAGGCATCCCGTTCCTCGAGAGCAGCACGCGCTGTAGGTACGCTTTCAAATAAACAATTATTTCTTACAGTTATCGCGATTCTTTTATTACATCACACACGCTCTCAGCACACGCGTCTTGATTTGAAAATCGACTCAACACGACCAGTTGCAGTCGTCCTTTAAGGCTTAATATCTCCATTGCAAATATAATCACTCTAATGGCCATCACAATGCCGTCAATGTTCTTGCAGAGTTTTAATGCTGTTGTACAACTAGATCAAAGCGCCGTCGTCCTTGCGCCTGCTATACGCTTCATTTGCCACATCAAATTACGAACACCAGGCACACCAACGTTACGACATCAACCTACGTCTATTCCGAAGACGACGACAACTACGAGAGGCTTCTTTCATCTTTCGAGTAGAGCGATCGAACTCAATCAATGCTTTTCTTTGAAGTTGTTTGAGCCGCGAAGTTGGTTCCAGGGTAAAACGGATCACTTTATCGTTGATTCAACTCAGCAGCAAAATAAATCATGTGAAAAGACGACATCAAAAACGAGAAAAACAAATGAGTCTCACCTTATTAATATAGTCAGTTGAATCCATAGTTAGTAGCATCATTTATCTCATAGCATCCTCTTGTCGTGTTTCCAAAAAGAGCAGTACCCTGGGGCCCCTTTCGAGGCCTTCCACCCCCGGCAGACGGCTCCTGAAAGGGTCCGGGGCTACAGGGAGCCCCTCCCTGCGCTAGGCGGAGGGCACCGTCGCCCTGAGCCCTGGATCATATATAAGTCGAGAATTACCGTGCCCACACTTGCAATGTGTTTCAGCGTGCCCTTCGGAACTCATCTCACCCTTAGCCAGCATTTTAGAAGACCAGCATCCTGAGGCCTTTTCCGTTTCCCTTTGGAAACGTCCCGTCTAGGATGCTTCTGAGCTCGTCTCGTTAGGTGAATGCTTCTGGACTTCTGGAGATGGATTAGAACAAAAAGCCTTAATTGCCGTTCCCGTCTTCCCATCGTTAGTACACAACGTGAGTGGTTGTGCATGAGACTTATGCTTTTCGAATCCCAGTGTGTCAAGTGGGCGACCAGGCCTCCCGAACAACGTATTTGCTCTCGTTGGTCCACCAGCTTCACCTTCAGCACGGATCCTAGATTTAGATGAGTAGAGCAGAATTTTCTTTTTCCCAGCGCAATAATGTACGAAGAAGAAGGTACGAATGCTTAGTGAGGAGAGTGCACTGCTAAAGACTAGTAAGTACTATTGAAGAGCAAAGGTGTCATGCGAATGTAAAAAGAAGAAGCTGAAGTTGTAAGCACGAAATCGCATACCAAACAGTTTGCCTCAATTGAAAATAAATTCGGCATTACTCCTCCTTCCTCTACACTGGAGCTTTCCATTGCTTCCTCCTCTGCGCGCGGTAAGAATTTTGGAGGTCCTTCGCGGTGCTGCTGAGGTAGTTCCATTTTTTCCATGTCTTGTGCAGCAGCAGTAGAAGGAGCAGCACTAGATGCGCATCTGAGTCCACGCAGAAGCTGTCGCAAATCTTTGGGGAAATCTGAAACATCTATGAGATTTTGATCTCCGTGTCGTCCTCCTGCTGCGGTACTCAAAGCTGTACTGTATTATTGGTGGAACTAGAAGGTCCTCGTGCTTGTTGAAACAGTACTTGTTTCTTACTTTCGTTCTGTTGCTCCTTGTTGTGTTTATTAGCGGATGAGCCTCTCTGGTTCGCTGAAGGGCTCCTTCTAGAAGCCTCCCCACCAACTGTTCCTCCTCCTCGTCCTCCACTACGCATATTTGAAAAATACACCTGATCATCAGAGGAAAAATCGTCATTTTTGCTTTCTCCTTCGTCATAAAACAACAGCCTCTGTCGCTGATGTGGAGGAGCTCCAGGATGTTGTTGAGCAGGATGTTGTTGATCGAGACCTGCTTCTGTCCTCTTTTCCGGAGACAAATCGCGACCACGTTCCAGTGCTAGTGTTCTGAAGCTGAACTTGGGAGACGCGCCACCAGATGCCTGCGCAAAGTTATGGATTTGTGGTTTTTTCCATTCAGACTGACCATCGAGGCTCCCCTTTGAAAAAAATTAGAGCTCACAACAATTCATTTTGAAAAGCATCTTTGGCGTGTTTTCCCCTCACATCGAAAGGGAACAGAGATGCTCCTCAATATGAATTTTTAGTACGGTAAGCCTTAATATAAGGGGCAAAGGAGCTGCAGGAGCCTCGATGGTTGTAGGGAGGGAAAAAACGTCATAAAAGTCCGCAGACCCGAATCCGAATTTCGCTGCTAGCCTGGCCAGATATAATTCTGGATCGGGCTTGTCGATCTCGGGAGGTTTGTCATCCTTCTCTTCAGGTGAAGCCTCCTTGGAGGATTTTCTTCGCGATTTCTTGTTCTTGATGAACACCATCTTTTTGTGGTAATGAAGAAGATTGTTCTTTTGCAATTGGTACTCTACTTACGCTTAGGTTTCTCAGACTTAGATGGAGCATTAGTACTTACTTGATACTAGGCTCGTCAGGCTTAGAAGTGTTAGTAGATTTTCAATGCTTGTTCATCTTTCTCGTCTTGTTCCGGCTCCGCTTGTACTACGTTGTAGTTGATGTAAGGCCTTCTAGTCGCGTCTGGCAGTATCAATATCATGCTTCTTCGCTCGTGAACAAGTAGCGTTGTGCGTTTTGCAGCAGCAGTGCGGCTGCAAGTTCAGACTCTATCTCTACTATTGGTATTGCGTTCTGTTGATGTTAAGAGTGTGCCTTCATGTTGCCACGCTTTCGTCTTCTAAGGCTCCTTCACCAGTGAGTCGTTCTGGTTGTCATCGTGATCCTACGATGCGTGCTGCGACGGCTGAGCCAGCAACTTGCTTGACACGCGAGTCCAAAGTAAAGCGATTTGCGACGCCTCAGCTACACAGCGCCCTCATGTACGCGGGGCCAAGAAGAGGGTGAGGGACCAGGAACGCCATGATAATTCCATGATGTTGATGCGCTTCTTGATTTTATGAATTTTGACATTTTTCATTAGCTTCATTCACTGGAGGTCTCCACTAGTATTTCAGCGTCTTTCTCTTATTTCAGTTAGAACTCTCTCAGCTTTCCTTCTACAACTTGTTGTAGTTCGGAAGACTTTACATTAGTTGTTCACTGTATTCACTAGTATATTGCAACTGCGTCTCAGACTAGTACGGCACCTTTATGTTGACAACTACAGATGCCCTTCCGGTTGTATCAGACTCTTTTATTAGAGGTAGCTTTTTGGTGTTCGTTTATCCCGCTTGTTATGGCTGTCCCCCTTAGGAGAGCCATAACAAGCGGTAACAAAAGCACCTTTCACCTACCCTTAATTTTAGTCTTAGCCGTCCTAGATAGACGAACAGTCGATGACACGGGAAGGTGATCAGTGTCATCTTTTGAAGGAGACCCGAGCATCAGTGTCAACATCCTCATCGCCATCTGGACGACACCATTGAGCTTGAGGCATCGGCATCCCAGCCGATCCTAGCAAAGTCTTTGTGTTCGACGTTGCTATTCCTATTTGTACGTAGCACTGCGGCTTTATCAGGGAGGTGCCAATCTGATCAAAAGCTGGGTTTCTCTGCTTGTGTCTGTAGTCGAAAAATACATGCTTTCTTTTCACATACAAGCTTGAAAGCCTTTTTCTATAATCCTTGTAGTTTCCATTCCATGGCGTCCCTGGCTTTATCTTGTCTAAATTGTCCACATGTTTCTGAAGTGATCAGATGAGTGTGAGTCGAGGAGATCTCGTGGAGATCACAACTCGATCTCCTATCCACGACGTCAGCATGGAAGGTAGTTTCTCGGTTTAGCTCAGACTCAAAAATGAGGAAACTAACTACTTCTAATATTGTGTGAAAGGACTACATTTTTGCAACTCATTAAGCACAAAACTATCGCAACTCATAATTAAGGACAAAAATTTTGCAACCCATTAAGGGCAAGAAGTCGCCCGGGAAATCTTAATAGGCAGGTTGCCGAATAGATTCACACCATCAAGGACAAAATTCTTGCAACTCATTAAGAGCTTGGGCTAGGACAAGGCCTTTGCAACTCAATAAGGACAAATAATACCCTTGCCACTAGGATGATAAACGAGCCCAATAATGTAACAAACTATCTAACTAGTACTAGATCGCAAAGCGAAAAAGTCTACAGTGCTCCCTAGTAGCTTGTACTTACGTCGGAAAGAAATATCGTGGCAGCAAAGTAGTGAAAAAAGGCCCACTTCAAACATCAATATTTATACATTCTCTGAAGATATTAATGCCACGTCGACTAATTATATCAATCTGAGGAGACTACTTCTCATACAACAAATTGTCATCGTTTCCGAAAAGTTTGAGTTTGTTGCTCTTATTCAACAATAGTCCAGATTGTAGCTCCAGCGCACTCCTATGATTGAACAAATAGTGAAAACAGTAGCTCAATACACTGGTGAAGCAATGGGTTCTTTTATTCACTGACATCAAACTACAGTAGGTACAAGATCCACAGCGGATCATCTTTTTCAACGACTACAGAAGTTGCACAACATGTACAACGCGCAACACCAGATCACGTCAACAAAAATTCAGTAGTCGTTTCTGTTGTAGTAATGCTAACGCAACAAAACCATGTGAGGAACGACAGAATGTGAGCAAGTGTCGTATTACACTGTCTATGGTGGATATCTATCTATCATTATGATGCCTGATAGAATTATTAATAGTGGACATCTTCAATGATCTCTTGCCGTCTAGTCAACGAGTACTACCGCTTACCATTCTTCATATACATTCGTGAATAATACTAAAAACAAGACTTCTGAGATTGAGATACAATGAAGAAAATAACACGATCGATTGATAAACTCAAGCTGCTTCATTTTCCCTCGATAAGTTAGTACTATCAACTACCTCTACAACGAACCCACTAGATTGGAACAATTGAAAAGTTGTTCTTGAATACACTATCTATGTGTAGCAAGCACTTCTTCCCTGTTACATTTAGGCACCAGGAGCGACATCAATTCAATTCAAGAGGTGTCTGTCAGGGGATTGAGGTTCTCGAAAGCAACCAATATCGTTCGATATTGCTCGAACGATAGACCTGGTCATGTTAGAAGAAGGTGCGTCTCAAGATTATCTCGTCAGAATTCCAGTCCTAAAACTGTCGTGACTGAAGCAATTATAGTAGAAATGAAGTGGGAGGGAGCAAATAAGCTTTGAAGCGGGGAGAACAGCAAGAAAGCAAAAAAAAGTACGGAGGGAGCAAAGAAATTACAACTACAAGACGAGCCATAATTTGGTTTCACCCGGTTCCAGCGCGGGGCTTTCGGCATGACATGCAACTTCATAAGTAGCGTATGTGTGCCCCTCTTTCTTCTGGTTTTTCATGTCCTCGACCATGCCTTGGACACCACCTTGAATATATCTAAATAAAAATGGTGCATTCACCTCGTATGCCTTCTTGTAGGCCTCTTTTAGCTCAGGAGCGTCTTGGCTCCCACCTTTCTCCTTTGGATTCAATGCACCAAGGTCGACGGCGTTGCTAGAGTAGACGATCTGTCTGTGGATATTATCCATTCCCCCTTTTAGGGGAAGGGGTGAAGATACTAGTTTAAAGATCGAATTATAATCAGCTAATATTTTGACTTTGCGTATCTTGCCACCTTCACGAATTCGTCCGCTGATTGACTCCTGGAAGCTCTCCATCTTCTGACGTACATCATCATTCGGGGGAGTAACCGGCCGCAGATAAGGCTGGCCAATCTGCTCTCGAGTATGTTTAGGACGAGGTACATCAGCAGAGAGCCTCCAGGGGTATCTGTTAGTGTCGAACGCGTTGTTCGCCTCAGCCCAGTCTCCTTCCACGGTGTACCCTTCGCGACACATTCTCAGGAACACTTCCTCAGTGAGAAGAGCCGCCTGTATAGAGAATAACACCTTACTGTTGAACGTGATGTAGTAGCGAGGACCTGCAAAGAAGTTTCGCAGGTCATGAAGGTGGTCTTCTGCCACATTTTCAAACTGCACAACAACTTGCTGTTTCTCCACAGGATTACGATCCCCATCTTGTGGCCGAACAAATGGAGGCTGCTCGTCAGAGACGTAGTTCGTAAATACTACTGGTGATAGTTTGTCAGACAATGGAGAAGAATACTTCAGCCTAAGCATGTTCTGCTCAAGCTTGCTGATTTCTTGTCCCATGGCGTCTCCATCTCCTCGATTTTCGTGGTCCTCCACCAACTTCAGACCCAGATCCAGAGCTTGTGATAGATCTGCGTCTGGTCTCCAATTTGCTAGTGTCTGCTGTTCTTTTTGTAGTTTTTCAAGCTCCTCCTTGTTGCTGGAGATGGTGCGCGACACAGTTTCTGGACCGCGTCGCTGCAGATCAAATTGTTTTTGTTCATGGCTTTGCTGTTGCTTTTCTCGTTCTTTTCGTTGCTGGTCTCCTTTTGTTGTCAGCGTCGTTACAGCTGTCTCCAGTCGTCCAAGATTCGCCGCAGAAATCATGAACGATGACAAGATAATCAGAATAAAGCATGTGCTTGATGTTGTATACGTGAATAGGGTAAACCTCTAGATGGATAAACTTTGCGAACACAAGGTTAATCGTGGGCCATAAAGATTGTTCCCTCTCGTGTTCCTTGTCCGGTAGATACAACGACGAAACTCGACGAAGCAGTGGGAATTTCCTCATCTTCTTGAATATCGGTCATTTCGCCAGAATAATTGACACGCATCTTCTGCTTCCTCTTGCGAGCGGCTATTTATTTTTGATTCGTCGGACATCCACCGGGAAAAATGAGGTGAAGAGAGTGCTGAAAAGCATGTACAAATGTAAAAGATGCCTCCTTTTTGGTGTTGACATCCATGTCTACAAAGATGCCCTTGACTGGTGCAACAGTATCTACATGATATTCGGCACAACAATTTTTACTTTTGTCGAACAATAAACACGTCACCAAGATAGAAAAACAAAAACAAACTATGTAGTTGCTGGAGCAGACCTAAGTAGAAAAAACTAAGATTAAGATATAATTAGACCTATCTCAACAGGCTCACGTAAGTACCATTACTCAGCTCCCCGTCGTCAACACTTGTAGAGTTATGCACGACTTCCGTTCCCGCGATGCCCTCGCTCCCATCATCAAGATGTTGAAGATGATTTTTCCGCGGTGGATTGTTGTTTATTGATGCTGTTGCTAGTGCTACTGGTAGAGCGCCAGACATCACACCATAGTAGAAGGTCACAGCGGGAAGCTTGTCCACCATCATGGCACCGAAAACACAACAGAAAGACGCAACAAAGCCACTGCAGCCAAGACCAGCAAAAGGAAGTAGTAGAAGACCAGGACCCTCTCGTCGATGAGCCTCGCCGCCTCCTTTTGTTCTATCTGTTTTTTGCATTCTACTATTCTTCCTACGCGCTAGGCGGGAAGATGATGTCCTCGTTGAAAAAAACGCTGCTCGTGCAGCGGCCGAAGACTCTCTTAGTGGCTGAGCCCAGTGTCTCTTAGTGGCTGATGCCCAGCGCCGTACGCAAAAAAGGGAATGTGATAGATTGTCGCATGTGTTGAGCCAGAAACGTCGCAGCCATCTCCGCACTTTCCTGTAACTACTACCCCTGTTGTAGCCGGAAACGGAATTGACACGGAAACTCCACCACTTTGAGCACCAAGATGATACATAATGTAACGCCTCAAAGAAGTAGTACGCGAGCACAAGCCACATGGGCAGTGCTACACATAGCAACAGAAACTGCAAGCATGGCAACAGCACGAACTCGAATACAACTTCAATTGCCATCAGCGTACACGAGAGTGCTAAGGACAGCAAACACCCGCAGTACCCCGGCAACAGCCACATACTCAGTGTAGCTGCACAAGTCGCAGATCTAAGCGTTATCATGCTCCCGATGTTGATCGGCCTTGATGCAGCTCAAAGGAACTGCACCAGAAAGATTAACTCCGCTTTCGATTTCGACTGAGAATCGTGGAGGTTGTATACTTGTTGTTGTTCTTATGGATGATTCACCTTCAAAGTCAAACTGCTTTCTATTTCTTTTCTACTCAACATAGGATAGCAGCTACTTTTATATAATTGCGAGTAGGTCCAGACTCAAGCTGTTCCTTGAAGTACAACTAGCAAACGACTAATATGACTGGATAAGTTCTTGAATACGAGAAGTACAACATCCGTGCTCTTGATCAAGTATTTCAAGCTTCTCTTGCCAGTAATTCGACTACCTACTTCTAGACACGACAGATCCGAAGATAACACGACTACAACAAGCATCACTCGTCTTTGACATGATCAGACAGCGAACCTCCTCCCCAGGAGGTTCAATCAGGATTTTCATAAATATCACTCATCCACTCAACATCTCCCGTTTTCGAATCATAGCCCTTTCATCGATAAGCACATACGAGGACGAGCCCAAAAAACTGACATCCCAATTTGCATCCTCAACTCAAAGTAACAGCAGTGAACACACTGCTGCAGCTACCTTCTCCACTATGCACCTACTGGCCTCTTTCCACTCGGTTTGCGTTTGCTATTTTAGGTTAGGAATCCTTCACAATCACATCGAGCTCTCGTCTGCTTATAATTATATCAAACGCACAAGTGCTGGACGAACAAGTAACGATGTCAAAGGAAACTTCGAGGACAGGTATAAGGCACCTTCATTGGGGCTAAAGAGTTAAATGTTCGGCATTTGCATCCGCATCATGTGTATCAAGCGTGTCAATGGACCACGGACCCGAGCATAGTGGTAATCTAGGTGCTCTAGGACTGCCAATACCTCAACAAGTGCTGACCACCACATCTCCTCAAGTGCAAGAGCGCCCATATTAGTGCTCCTGGTCATCCCATCACGCTCTGTTGGAAGATAGTTATGATGCTCTCAGAAGAAGAGTCCGTGACAATATCCTCTTCTACGTCCTCACCAGTAGATCCTGTTCTTCTTGCAGCGTCAGCTACTCCTCGTTCCGTGTTAGAGTTACAGTTAGAAGCATCAGTCTATATTCCTGGGTTATGAAGAAAGAGACCCAATTTCTGAAATTGATGACGAGCAGTTCGTTGTACGAGTCAACACAGCAGCTACATTGTTGATTGTACATCATTTATTATAGCACTAAATACGCTTAAAACAAGTCCAAGTCGTAAGTTTGGTCATCCCGGTCCCGGCAGTGAAGTCCTCGTTGACACAGAATCGAAACCACAAGCCAATCCTTTTTATGGCGTCACCCTTCAGAAGGCTCCAGGGTCAACGCCAGCAGTGCCTCTGCTTGCGTCTTAGGCGAGCCCTACAAATTTTTCGCCACTACAAGGTTGGTCGCGGGCCCTAATAGTTGCTAGGGCTTGTCCGGTAGATAAGGCGACGAAAATCGAAGCAGTGGGAATTTCATCATCTTCTTGAGTATCGGTCATTTCGCCAAAATAATTGATACCCGTCTNGTACGCGGGGCCAAGAAGAGGGTGAGGGACCAGGAACGCCATGAAAATTCCATGATGTTGATGCGCTTCTTGATTTTATGAATTTTGACATTTTTCATTAGCTTCATTCACTGGAGGTCTCCACTAGTATTTCAGCGTCTTTCTCTTATTTCAGTTAGAACTCTCTCAGCTTTCCTTCTACAACTTGTTGTAGTTCGGAAGACTTTACATTAGTTGATCACTGTATTCACTAGTATATTGCAACTGCGTCTCAGACTAGTACGGCACCTTTATGTTGACAACTACAGATGCCCTTCCGGTTGTATCAGACTCTTTTATTAGAGGTAGCTTTTTGGTGTTCGTTTATCCCGCTTGTTATGGCTGTCCCCCTTAGGAGAGCCATAACAAGCGGTAACAAAAGCACCTTTCACCTACCCTTAATTTTAGTCTTAGCCGTCCTAGATAGACGAACAGTCGATGACACGGGAAGGTGATCAGTGTCATCTGTTGAAGGAGACCCGAGCATCAGTGTCAACATCCTCATCGCCATCTGGACGACACCATTGAGCTTGAGGCATCGGCATCCCAGCCGATCCTAGCAAAGTCTTTGTGTTCGACGTTGTTATTTGTCCGTAGCACTGCGGCTTTATCAGCTAGGTGCCAATCTGATCAAAAGCTGGGTTTCTCTGCTTGTGTCTGTAGTCGAAAAATACATGCTTTCTTTTCACATACAAGCTTGAAAGCCTTTTTCTATAATCCTTGTAGTTTCCATTCCATGGCGTCCCTGGCTTTATCATGTCTAAAATGTCCACACGTTTCTGAAGTGATCAGATGAGTGTGAGTCGAGGAGATCTCGAGGAGATCACAACTCGATCTCCTATCCACGACGTCAGCATGGAAGGTAGTTTCTCGGTTTAGCTCAGACTCAAAAATGAGGAAACTAACTACTTCTAATATTGTGTGAAAGGACTACATTTTTGCAACTCATTAAGCACAAAACTATCGCAACTCATAATTAAGGACAAAAATTTTGCAACCCATTAAGGGCAAGAAGTCGCCCGGGAAATCTTAATAGGCAGGTTGCCGAATAGATTCACACCATCAAGGACAAAATTCTTGCAACTCATTAAGAGCTTGGGCTAGGACAAGGCCTTTGCAACTCAATAAGGACAAATAATACCCTTGCCACTAGGATGATAAACGAGCCCAATAATGTAACAAACTATCTAACTAGTACTAGATCGCAAAGCGAAAAAGTCTACAGTGCTCCCTAGTAGCTTGTACTTACGTCGGAAAGAAATATCGTGGCAGCAAAGTAGTGAAAAAAGGCCCACTTCAAACATCAATATTTATACATTCTCTGAAGATATTAATGCCACGTCGACTAATTATATCAATCTGAGGAGACTACTTCTCATACAACAAATTGTCATCGTTTCCGAAAAGTTTGAGTTTGTTGCTCTTATTCAACAATAGTCCAGATTGTAGCTCCAGCGCACTCCTATGATTGAACAAATAGTGAAAACAGTAGCTCAATACACTGGTGAAGCAATGGGTTCTTTTATTCACTGACATCAAACTACAGTAGGTACAAGATCCACAGCGGATCATCTTTTTCAACGACTACAGAAGTTGCACAACATGTACAACGCGCAACACCAGATCACGTCAACAAAAATTCAGTAGTCGTTTCTGTTGTAGTAATGCTAACGCAACAAAACCATGTGAGGAACGACAGAATGTGAGCAAGTGTCGTATTACACTGTCTATGGTGGATATCTATCTATCATTATGATGCCTGATAGAATTATTAATAGTGGACATCTTCAATGATCTCTTGCCGTCTAGTCAACGAGTACTACCGCTTACCATTCTTCATATACATTCGTGAATAATACTAAAAACAAGACTTCTGAGATTGAGATACAATGAAGAAAATAACACGATCGATTGATAAACTCAAGCTGCTTCATTTTCCCTCGATAAGTTAGTACTATCAACTACCTCTACAACGAACCCACTAGATTGGAACAATTGAAAAGTTGTTCTTGAATACACTATCTATGTGTAGCAAGCACTTCTTCCCTGTTACATTTAGGCACCAGGAGCGACATCAATTCAATTCAAGAGGTGTCTGTCAGGGGATTGAGGTTCTCGAAAGCAACCAATATCGTTCGATATTGCTCGAACGATAGACCTGGTCATGTTAGAAGAAGGTGCGTCTCAAGATTATCTCGTCAGAATTCCAGTCCTAAAACTGTCGTGACTGAAGCAATTATAGTAGAAATGAAGTGGGAGGGAGCAAATAAGCTTTGAAGCGGGGAGAACAGCAAGAAAGCAAAAAAAAGTACGGAGGGAGCAAAGAAATTACAACTACAAGACGAGCCATAATTTGGTTTCACCCGGTTCCAGCGCGGGGCTTTCGGCATGACATGCAACTTCATAAGTAGCGTATGTGTGCCCCTCTTTCTTCTGGTTTTTCATGTCCTCGACCATGCCTTGGACACCACCTTGAATATATCTAAATAAAAATGGTGCATTCACCTCGTATGCCTTCTTGTAGGCCTCTTTTAGCTCAGGAGCGTCTTGGCTCCCACCTTTCTCCTTTGGATTCAATGCACCAAGGTCGACGGCGTTGCTAGAGTAGACGATCTGTCTGTGGATATTATCCATTCCCCCTTTTAGGGGAAGGGGTGAAGATACTAGTTTAAAGATCGAATTATAATCAGCTAATATTTTGACTTTGCGTATCTTGCCACCTTCACGAATTCGTCCGCTGATTGACTCCTGGAAGCTCTCCATCTTCTGACGTACATCATCATTCGGGGGAGTAACCGGCCGCAGATAAGGCTGGCCAATCTGCTCTCGAGTATGTTTAGGACGAGGTACATCAGCAGAGAGCCTCCAGGGGTATCTGTTAGTGTCGAACGCGTTGTTCGCCTCAGCCCAGTCTCCTTCCACGGTGTACCCTTCGCGACACATTCTCAGGAACACTTCCTCAGTGAGAAGAGCCGCCTGTATAGAGAATAACACCTTACTGTTGAACGTGATGTAGTAGCGAGGACCTGCAAAGAAGTTTCGCAGGTCATGAAGGTGGTCTTCTGCCACATTTTCAAACTGCACAACAACTTGCTGTTTCTCCACAGGATTACGATCCCCATCTTGTGGCCGAACAAATGGAGGCTGCTCGTCAGAGACGTAGTTCGTAAATACTACTGGTGATAGTTTGTCAGACAATGGAGAAGAGTACTTCAGCCTAAGCATGTCCTGCTCAAGCTTGGTGATTTCTTGTCCAATGTCGCCTTCTCGACTTTCGCCCTCCACCAACTTCAGACCCAGATCCAGAGCTTGTGATAGATCTGCGTCTGGTCTCCAATTTGCTAGTGTCTGCTGTTCTTTTTGTAGTTTTTCAAGCTCCTCCTTGTTGCTGGAGATGGTGCGCGACACAGTTTCTGGACCGCGTCGCTGCAGATCAAATTGTTTTTGTTCATGGCTTTGCTGTTGCTTTTCTCGTTCTTTTCGTTGCTGGTCTCCTTTTGTTGTCAGCGTCGTTACAGCTGTCTCCAGTCGTCCAAGATTCGCCGCAGAAATCATGAACGATGACAAGATAATCAGAATAAAGCATGTGCTTGATGTTGTATACGTGAATAGGGTAAACCTCTAGATGGATAAACTTTGCGAACACAAGGTTAATCGTGGGCCATAAAGATTGTTCCCTCTCGTGTTCCTTGTCCGGTAGATACAACGACGAAACTCGAAGCAGTGGGAATTTCCTCATCTTCTTGAATATCGGTCATTTCGCCAGAATAATTGACACGCATCTTCTGCTTCCTCTTGTGGACGCCTATGTATTTTTGTCGTCGGACATCCACCGGGAAAAATGAGGTGAAGAGAGTGCTGAAAAGCATGTACAAATGTAAAAGATGCCTCCTTTTTGGTGTTGACATCCATGTCTACAAAGATGCCCTTGACTGGTGCAACAGTATCTACATGATATTCGGCACAACAATTTTTACTTTTGTCGAACAATAAACACGTCACCAAGATAGAAAAACAAAAACAAACTATGTAGTTGCTGGAGCAGACCTAAGTAGAAAAAACTAAGATTAAGATATAATTAGACCTATCTCAACAGGCTCACGTAAGTACCATTACTCAGCTCCCCGTCGTCAACACTTGTAGAGTTATGCACGACTTCCGTTCCCGCGATGCCCTCGCTCCCATCATCAAGATGTTGAAGATGATTTTTCCGCGGTGGATTGTTGTTTATTGATGCTGTTGCTAGTGCTACTGGTAGAGCGCCAGACATCACACCATAGTAGAAGGTCACAGCGGGAAGCTTGTCCATCATCATGGCACCGAAAACACAACAGAAAGACGCAACAAAGCCACTGCAGCCAAGACCAGCAAAAGGAAGTAGTAGAAGACCAGGACCCTCTCGTCGATGAGCCTCGCCGCCTCCTTTTGTTCTATCTGTTTTTTGCATTCTACTATTCTTCCTACGCGCTAGGCGGGAAGATGATGTCCTCGTTGAAAAAAACGCTGCTCGTGCAGCGGCCGAAGACTCTCTTAGTGGCTGAGCCCAGTGTCTCTTAGTGGCTGATGCCCAGCGCCGTACGCAAAAAAGGGAATGTGATAGATTGTCGCATGTGTTGAGCCAGAAACGTCGCAGCCATCTCCGCACTTTCCTGTAACTACTACCCCTGTTGTAGCCGGAAACGGAATTGACACGGAAACTCCACCACTTTGAGCACCAAGATGATACATAATGTAACGCCTCAAAGAAGTAGTACGCGAGCACAAGCCACATGGGCAGTGCTACACATAGCAACAGAAACTGCAAGCATGGCAACAGCACGAACTCGAATACAACTTCAATTGCCATCAGCGTACACGAGAGTGCTAAGGACAGCAAACACCCGCAGTACCCCGGCAACAGCCACATACTCAGTGTAGCTGCACAAGTCGCAGATCTAAGCGTTATCATGCTCCCGATGTTGATCGGCCTTGATGCAGCTCAAAGGAACTGCACCAGAAAGATTAACTCCGCTTTCGATTTCGACTGAGAATCGTGGAGGTTGTATACTTGTTGTTGTTCTTATGGATGATTCACCTTCAAAGTCAAACTGCTTTCTATTTCTTTTCTACTCAACATAGGATAGCAGCTACTTTTATATAATTGCGAGTAGGTCCAGACTCAAGCTGTTCCTTGAAGTACAACTAGCAAACGACTAATATGACTGGATAAGTTCTTGAATACGAGAAGTACAACATCCGTGCTCTTGATCAAGTATTTCAAGCTTCTCTTGCCAGTAATTCGACTACCTACTTCTAGACACGACAGATCCGAAGATAACACGACTACAACAAGCATCACTCGTCTTTGACATGATCAGACAGCGAACCTCCTCCCCAGGAGGTTCAATCAGGATTTTCATAAATATCACTCATCCACTCAACATCTCCCGTTTTCGAATCATAGCCCTTTCATCGATAAGCACATACGAGGACGAGCCCAAAAAACTGACATCCCAATTTGCATCCTCAACTCAAAGTAACAGCAGTGAACACACTGCTGCAGCTACCTTCTCCACTATGCACCTACTGGCCTCTTTCCACTCGGTTTGCGTTTGCTATTTTAGGTTAGGAATCCTTCACAATCACATCGAGCTCTCGTCTGCTTATAATTATATCAAACGCACAAGTGCTGGACGAACAAGTAACGATGTCAAAGGAAACTTCGAGGACAGGTATAAGGCACCTTCATTGGGGCTAAAGAGTTAAATGTTCGGCATTTGCATCCGCATCATGTGTATCAAGCGTGTCAATGGACCACGGACCCGAGCATAGTGGTAATCTAGGTGCTCTAGGACTGCCAATACCTCAACAAGTGCTGACCACCACATCTCCTCAAGTGCAAGAGCGCCCATATTAGTGCTCCTGGTCATCCCATCACGCTCTGTTGGAAGATAGTTATGATGCTCTCAGAAGAAGAGTCCGTGACAATATCCTCTTCTACGTCCTCACCAGTAGATCCTGTTCTTCTTGCAGCGTCAGCTACTCCTCGTTCCGTGTTAGAGTTACAGTTAGAAGCATCAGTCTATATTCCTGGGTTATGAAGAAAGAGACCCAATTTCTGAAATTGATGACGAGCAGTTCGTTGTACGAGTCAACACAGCAGCTACATTGTTGATTGTACATCATTTATTATAGCACTAAATACGCTTAAAACAAGTCCAAGTCGTAAGTTTGGTCATCCCGGTCCCGGCAGTGAAGTCCTCGTTGACACAGAATCGAAACCACAAGCCAATCCTTTTTATGGCGTCACCCTTCAGAAGGCTCCAGGGTCAACGCCAGCAGTGCCTCTGCTTGCGTCTTAGGCGAGCCCTACAAATTTTTCGCCACTACAAGGTTGGTCGCGGGCCCTAATAGTTGCTAGGGCTTGTCCGGTAGATAAGGCGACGAAAATCGAAGCAGTGGGAATTTCA